GGCTGAACCCAGCACACTGACATTTCTAGGGAACTGTCTCTTCTCAAAGACAGACATTGTATATGTGAGGATACCGAAATTTAGGTAACTTCTATAAGGTGGGGGTTTTTTGGTTGGTGGTTGTTTTTTTTTTTTCCGGTGAGGGGAAAATGTATTGCTGGATATAATACTAAAACTTTGTCCACACTTTGTAATTACTTATAAGTCCAAGAGTTTAAATTGCATCTCTGCCAAGGATGACCCTTCCAATAAAACTGGTATTAAGAGGATAATAATTATGTATCATAGTGCATTTATAGAGGAACTAAAATATTGGAAGAGAAACCTTTTACGTTTTGTGGACGAATCTTAAGTATATGCCAATCTATTCATTCTCTGTTGGGTATTTTCTCCTTTGGGAGTTCTTTCACAACTCACAGAACTGAAAATAAAGAGGTTGAAATGTCTAGATAATTCTTAATGCAAAATTGGAACAAAGACATTAATATAAAAGCTTAGGACATCCAGAATAAAAGTCTCGTCAGGTGGGACCATTATTAAGAAAATTCGTCTCTGGAATGCAAAACACAAGTTTATCTAAACTAACGAAAAAGAAGACAAGCTGAGAAAGAAGTTGTGGTTAGCTTCCAGTTCAGTGCTTTTTTAGTACAGGGCTTTTACCTTTTATCATATTTGTTCTGTGATTGGCTTGTAACCAACCCCTTGGCAGTTGGCATTTACAAATCACGCCTTTTTGCATAAATATTTCACACAGGCATCATCTAAAATATGAGGGTATTTCTGTCTAGGTTTTGCTAGGCAAGAGAACAATATTGGTAGATTTTACCAACAGCATTATTCCAATATGGAATTATATGGAGACAAAAGCCCCTTTTAAGAAGGATTTTACACATACTATCATCTTAGAGATGTTTTTGTTGCAGTGGCATGCATGCACCGAATTTTCGCATATTGTGTGGGAAGAGGAGGAGCTGTAGTTCTGCCTTTCTGCTAAGGAGACCCAGTGCCTTTTTCTGCTGGTGGCTTAAATTCGGTTATCCTTAGACATCCTCTGTAACTTCTGCATAAATCATAGAATCACAGAATGATTTGTGTTGGAAGGGACCTTAAAGATCATCTAGTTCCAACCCCCTGCCATGGGCAGGGACACCTTCCACTAGACCAGGTTGCTCAAAGCCACATCCAGCCTGGCCTTGAACACTTCCAGGGATGGGGCATCCACAGCTTCTCTGGGCAACCTGTTCCAGAGCCTCACCACCCTCTCCGGGAAGAAATCTTCATGTCAAAAGATTTACTTTGCTTACCAATGAAAGTGCTGTTTTTATCTTAATGAGGACCGTATTGAGTTTTTTTATGTAACCGTACTTCCTGGAAGCATGGCAATCGCTAGGTGCTTGTCTGAACAAAACTAACTTTCTACATACTCTGTATTTAAAACCTGATTGTTTCGTATGAGTTTTAAAGAAGCCTCTGCAGTTGACTTCCACATTGAAAAATGCCATTAATGTCTACCGAAGTACACTGATTTTGTGTTACAGATGATTCGCCTCCTGCAGAACGGGAACCAGGTGAAGTTGTGGACAGCCTGGTAGGCAAACAAGTGGAATATGCCAAAGAAGATGGCTCAAAAAGGACTGGCATGGTCATTCATCAAGTTGAAGCCAAACCATCTGTCTATTTCATCAAGTTTGATGATGATTTCCATATTTATGTCTACGATTTGGTGAAGACATGCTAGACGCTAGACGTCATCGTGAACTTTTGCCAAATTTGTGGAACTATTAAATGTAAAATTTGTAGACACAAAGACTTGACTGCTTTCCAGTTGAATGAAAGCTTAAATGTCCCTGCGAACCCACAATCTCTGCCAGCAAAACTGTTTCATTCTGAATAATATAAACAAATGTGACACATTTTGTGTAAAAGAACTCCTTTTCGTGAAGGAAGTCAATATATTTGGGCAGGAGGGAGTTAAAAGCAAAGAACAGCTGCAAATTCAAGCTGTGTAAAGTTGATATAGTATTGTAATCATTAATCTAAATTTTTTCGTAGATTTAACTTTTTCTTCAACCTTGCACTCACTTGTTCAACTGCCACATGCAAGTGTAGTTTGATACTTTGATATGCCTTCTTTTGTAACATTAAATTTAATTTTTTGGCTACTGGCAGTCCTTGTTTTCAGGGTTGGGACAGAGGTGAGTTTTTTTCTGAAAGGCTGAAACGGTTTATGCAGCATTGACGAGTGCCTAACCCAAGTATCATCAATCTGCTGTGTTTCTACACTTCATTTCAAATTTAGCCTTTTAAGAACTTGCAGTACACGGAAATACTCGTGCATTTTTACTAGTCACAGGGCAGTAGGGTATCAAGTGTTTGACGTACGCACCTTTCAGTGAAAAGGCTTTAAACTGTAAAGCCATATTTAATCTGTATAACCAGTTAAATAGAAAATGCAGGTTAATGGCCCGTATTTACAAGTTGTAGGAACCAGTGAAACACATGCAACAAGGCTGCCTTTGATCCGAAATGTTGTACTTCTTTCTTTTGTTTGTTATACACACTTCTTAGCAAAACCCAAGTGCTTGGTGCCACGACTTCTAACAGTATATGTGCTACTTCAGAAGACTTTAGACTACGCATTGGCAATCAGTAGTCTCTCATGTAATGTCAAAACCTAGCGACCTGAATGTTTGTGTGTGGACTTAGAAGCCTAACAGTAGTTAATACTTTAACATGGTAAATGCAATCTCACGCCGAGGGGTGGGAGGGGATGTCCTTTTACACTGAAAGCTTACTTTAGAGAAGGAGAAGCATTTGTTGCCTTCTGCTCAGTCTGTTGCATTCCGTTGTTTTGTTGTTAACCATTTTGGTTCAAGAAGGCATCTTCCCAATTTATTCATTTTCTAGCTTTTCCACATAAGGAGTGTCTGGACAAACCTACAGCTTAAACCTGTTGTTGCCTTTTGTGGTGTACATTGTACTTGCTTTGAGATACGCTGTTAACGTGAATTCCATTCTAAGAACACTAGAGTTCTGCATGCCAGTGGTGTACTATCTAATGGAAGCTATAGGCAGTCTCAGTGTTTCAATCATCTGCATTAGATTGTGGATGTAAATAGCAGCCCACAACAGCAAAATCCTTTCACAGTTTTAATCTTGCAAGATAGTTGTAAATGAAAACTAGGGTTTTTTTAAGCGTGGCAGCAACGATCAGCACAGCAACACAATTGTCATGTTACATTCAGGCAGAGCTCTGCAAGTTCCAAAGAACTGCTTCACAGAAATACAGAGTGTGAAGACAGTCAGCACTGTTGATGGAAGGAACAAATACTCTGATGTCCAATATCCGACCATATGCCAGTAGTGGAAGGATGCAGGAGAGGTGCTGTTAATCAGAATTCAGAGGTCCGGATGACCTCTGTTGTGGGTATTCTTGATATTGAAGACAGTGGTTTAAGCCCCTTTCTGTCCATTTTTTGCCTGATTTCATATTTTAGCCTTAAGGCTTGTGCCTCATTGTGCTGTTGAATGGTAATAAATACTCTCCATATAAATATGATACCTTAATTCTTTGTCCATCGCTACTATATTGCATTATGTCCAGTATTTCATCATGGTCAATCAAAGGCAGGCTATTGTCTCTCAGTGAACAGCTTCTCAATGCAGTCCTTAAGCACTAAGTACCCCAGTCGTCAATGTTCCTTGTGTTTTGAACAAAGTGAGCAGATTTGCAACACAGTGTTTTTCATCCTGCAGATCTGTTATGTGTTTTCTATTGACTCTTAAGAGTCCTGCATGTAAATCTCAAAGCTGAGCCTGGCTCCATGAGCCCAAGTTGATATTTGTGGCACAAGAATGAGTGAGTGTATTGATTAATACACAAGATACATGAATAACCTAGTACACTGAACTTTGGGCTATATATCTGAGGAATACAAGGTTTGTTTTGAAATATCTGAGGTTTAGGTCTACTGGAACATTTTTAGCATTAGGCTTGCATTTGTGGGTTTTCTGCAAGCCTCTTGAATACACCATGTATTCTGCCAATTAGAGTATAATCTATAAACTGTAAATTTTATGGTTGTTTCTAGATGTCCCCGTTGTCTGTTGCGTGGGTATTTCTTTTCATCTTTTTTTTTTTCTTCTTATTTTTTCCTTTTTTTTTTTTTTTAATTTGATAGCTTAAACCACCTTTTTGAGGCTTGAGACTAATTCCACTCCCTGCCCATCTGCTTTGGGCTTTGTTTTAGGCTCATGTTTCAGATCTGCATGCAGTGCTTGCGTTACCCTGGTAACTAAATGTTGGTTCCTTGTTATAGGGGTTCAACATTACTTTCCAAAATCACATAGGGCTTGTGATGGCACAAGCCATGGATCTTTGTATAAAAGTTATTTGCCTTTCACATTTACCTGCTGTAGTGTTGTATATTGTGTGTGTGTGTGTGAGACGTCAGGCTGCCATGTAAAACTTTATAAAAGAAAAAAAAAACTTAAATGCAGACCATCCTTCATGCTTAGAAAAGTTATTTGCCTTTCACATTTACCTGCTGTAGTGTTGTATATTGTGTGTGTGTGTGTGAGACGTCAGGCTGCCATGTAAAACTTTATAAAAGAAAAAAAAAACTTAAATGCAGACCATCCTTTTTTGCATGCTTAGAGGGTTAGAACGTTCAGTGTAACAAACTAATGCATGTTAAAATGTTTAGGTTTTTGTTTTGTTCTGTTTTTATTTTGTGTTCAGTTTTTTGTGAATTTGCTTATTGTGCTGTTTTAATGGTTGTTAGTAGGATTAAATGCACCGGTGAGACGAGCATAGTGCCAACGGAAGGTAATTTTCCAGTTGTATGTGTCATACAGCATTTGAAGGGACCATGTATTCTGTTAAAGAAAAAATTAAATTACAGTTGATATCAAAATACTACATTTTTCTTCTTTCTTTTGAGTGCCAAACCCTAAATGTGCTGGAGTAGACATGGGGAAAACCCTTTTTAGTGCAGCAGGTAGAAGCCTTCTTTAAGTGAATTATTTAAAAATAGGCTTTATTTTCAGATAGAATTGACTAGTTGCTTCAGGGAAAAGAGTTAAGGTAAAAACAGTTTCTGGTTCCTTGAAAATGCTGTGCTTTTTGTATTTTACATCATTAGTGCAATTTGGATGGTTCTTGGTATGTGTATAGTTCAAAGGTCTTCGTGTTCACATTTTAAAATTAGGTAATGAATTCATCTTTAGAGCTTGGTTTCATTATTTTTATTTTATTTCGAACAATGTAGACAGTTCCCTGTTCTCTGCATTTAGAAGTATAAACACTTTAAATCTGTTACTTAATTCTGTAAGTAATTTTTATAATTATGATGTAACTCTATCCTTAAAACATTTAAAATAAACCCTTTATGTGCAACTTATGACTGTAAACTTTGTTCTCATGAGCAAAATGTAGTGACGTGATTTCAGATTGTGAAGAAGCAGTTGCTTCAGTTTTCTAATTAAAAAGGATTTATTATTTTAATGCTGAGCCATATATGCTGATATGATACTTGCCCTATGAAAAAAAGTTTGTTTGCAAAGCCGAATCTTTATATTTTTCCAAGTAAGTATAAATGCTGATGAGATGGAACTCGGCTAAGATAAACCATACTGCTTAAACTGTATTTTGCCAGACGCAGAAAAACTCCTCTCCAGGGGATGATGCTAGTCTGTGAAGAAGTCTCTTATTTCCAGAGCACACAGAATATTTCAGCAGTGGGGAACAGAAGCATTTGGCAGAGTTTAGGCGATACATTTGTCTGCTTAAAACTGATAAAATTCAGACTTCGATCAGGCACACTTTGCTGATGATAAAAAAGCAAAGTTGATCCAAATGAGAGGTGATGAGCAGAGAAGACATCACTATGTTGCAGATCTTTTCGTCCTGTAAATTGTTACGATTAATGCGTGAAGACTCCTAATTATTTTATGTTGTTAAATTAGTAAGGCAGACTTCCAATATTAGGCAGATTTTCTCTTCCTACCCCATTTCTGATAATAAAGGGGCAAGTGTTGTACGTATGGAAGAGATTTTCTTTATTCCTACCCCTTTGATAGAGGGGCAAGTGTTGTACGGATACCCCAAAATACCTTTTTTGGCACCAAGCTCATGTATACTAAAGATCTTGGAGCATGCCAGTGTGCAGCCGGGATGAATACCCAAGCCTCTTCAGTTCCCGTAGTTCAGTGTCCCGTTTACCGTGTCCTGTTGCCTGAGAGATGGGTCCCAGTGAAGATCTGTTGTGTGCATCTGCTGGTTAAGGAGAGCCTAAGGTTTTGTTTCAGTTAGCAAGAGTGTTGCATCCAGAAAGCAAACGTTAATCTGTGTGAGCTGGCTACATTAAAGTACAGTAAAAAATAGGTACACTAACATTTTATGGCTAATGCCCAAGCTTGTTCTGTATTGCAGCTGATCGACCAACCTCAGTTTTGTAGCATCTCTTTCCATAGAGGAAGAATCCTTATAAAAACAAGATGCTTTTTGTTCTCCACTACTGCAGCAATGAAACTGCTCCTGAAAGCTGGTTACTTAGGAGCTCGTTACTTACCAGCTCCAGCGCCAGTGGCATGAAGACCATGGTGTCCCACAGATTTAGGAGGGTGTGCATTCAAGTCCTACCCAGAGCTACAGCTTTAATACTGCTGCACTCTGTTTTCACATCTGTCCGGTTCCTCCGTGCGCCTATCAACAGATGATACTGTCAGGGGAAAAAAGAATGAAAAAGCACCTTCTGTCTCTGCTGAGCAAGTTATTTGTTTTGAAACAAATTATTTTTAAAGTACTCATGCTGTAAACAGTTGAGCCACTGATGACTTCAGTGGGCTTTGCTGTTTTTTGGGAAGGACAAGCTTTAGTGAGGATATTTTGGATGAGGTTGGGCTGCCGCAATTTCAGTTCATTAAGAAGGTATAAAAGGAGAAGTAAGGCTAAGTCTAGGAAATGACAGGTTTCATCCTCAAGCACTGGATAATAAAAGATTTTCACTTTTATGCACACTTAGAAACTTTTTTTTTTTTTAATTTAACTGGTTTCTTTTTCAGGAAGTTCCTGCCTTCGTGTGTTACATCACTGAACTCTTTCCTCTGTCAATATCAATACCTTACAATTTCAGGATTGGTAGCCTGGGAAAGTTACTGGGCTATTAAGCATTGATTTTTTTTTTCCAGGCTCTGTTCTTCCCATTTTAATAGTTTGCTGCCCTGTGAATTCCTTGATCTCTCTTACAAGTTCAGAAAGCAGTTGCTTGTGCACAATACGCAGCTGTGTGTGCACGACAGAAAGCAGCTGGGCTCTCGGCATCGTAAGGTGGTGTCTACCCAGCACTTCCCTGTGGTGGTTAGATGTTAGTTACAGATTTCTGTACGTTATTTTTCTGAGACCAGTTATGATTTGCATCACTACTTGTACACAATTTGTGTAAATGGTTTTGTAGCCTGACAGTTAAAAAACTCTATGTGCTTTGGCACTAGTTCTGCAAACCCCGCCCCCATACAATTAATCCCTAAATTTACCTGTATTCAGTGGAGTCTGGCTTTTACCAGTCTTTTGAACATTTTTAATGCATTTTCATGCATTTTGGTGCCATGTTCTTCCTTAGGCCTCTGCACTCAGGACTGATCTGTCCAAAGCTGACTTTGGTAATGAACCAGGTCACCTGCAGATTTACTTTGATTTGAGCAAACTTCCTTTGTTACTTCTCAACGTTCCATCCAGACCTGATACTTGAGAGGCACATTTTTGTAAATAAAACGGGCAACACAACTTTACATTATTGTAAACGCACATTCGTGGTCATCAAAGTGATTTCGTGCCTGCAGCCCCTTTTTCGGGAGAGGAGAGGTCTGGGGTATGCTTTCTTCTATTTGCATGGAAGACTGCTCAGTGGCAAGACAGCCAGTCCTCCAAGCGCGAGAAAAGGAATGGTGAGATCCTTACGCATTTCACCCTGCTGGGTTTTTGTGCTGATGTTTAGTCCTGCTGCACTAACTCGCTACACATGGTGCGTACTTACCTTTGGACTGGACGGTGGGAATTATCTTCGTACAGACACTAGTCTTTTGACACCGGGGTTATGTACTGGGAACACTGGCTGTCACGCTTTCCATAAAAACTCTAATTAACTTGATTTTACAACACCGTTCAGTAACTCCTAGCCATTTTTAACTTGCAGATGTCTAACTTAAAACTCATAAATTTAATTAATTAAAAAGCAAAGTAACCTTTAAAGCAGCAAGAACAAAATAAATCAACACTAATAGAAGAAGTGTTAGAGAAAAAACCTGTAATGATTCAAAGGTTATGCTCAAAAACACAAAAAAAGGATAGGAACAGCAAGTTTCAAAAGTCACTTTTTGCTGCATTGCCACACATTTCATTACGGAAGGCTGAAAGTGTGTCTTGCTGGGAATCCTCATTTATCTCCAGCTTTGTTCACTCATTCTCAGTGTTCTGCCTTTAAAAGGGTATTCATTGTGCCCACAATTCTGTTGTTAGCGAGGCTCAGTGTATTGTCTACTCAGTGTATTGTCTGCTCAGAAGCTGGCAGATAGAATAAAATGAAAAAAGGGAGTTAAGGCACAGTTTTCAGAAAAGAGGCAGAAAAGCTAACTTGTCTGATTCAGAATTTCTAATGGGGGGGGG